CAGGCGCAAATAAAAGACAGAAAACATTAAAGGAAATGAACCGACATGAACGATCGCGTGTTAAATTAGTTTTTGAGGTGGCGACACCTGATTTGATAATGTTACTGTGGCCGTGCTCAGGACGCAGATCTACCGACCGCAAAAACAGCGGAGTGCTCCCTGCTTGGCGGCCGCATCAGTGATCGGTGCGTCACCGGAGGACAAGGTGATGAGCCCCGCTCCACAGCAGCAAAACACATCAGGCGCAAATAAAAGACAGAAAACATTAAAGGAAATGAACCGACATGAACGATCGCGTGTCAGTACTGACGCTCTGGCACAGCGTGTTGCCCCCCCAGAAAGCAGGAGCTTGTCACCTGCTGACAGCAGGCTGCTGTCTTTTCCGAGGGCTGCATCTTGCCGGTCATTATCACGTGACAGCGACTAGTCGATGACAGGCATAAAAAGTCACTATAGTGAAGTCGACTAGTTCATACAACCCCTATTGCTCCCCAGTGTTCTGCAGCGCACGTTCTCTTTGAACTTGATATCAAATTTTCGCCTCCTCTTCGTCTCCGCACGGTTAAAGTTACCCTCGCGGTCTATCACTGGCAAATCAAAAGTGAGACGATGACACAACTGCCCCGTACTTGCTTGTTACCACATTCCACCCAGCCACAATAAGAGACCGGCCATTATTCACCTCCGCTGACTCCGACCAAAATATGAGACCCGGCCGTTAATTGAATACAGGCCTGTATTAGAGGATTTACGGTATGTTACTAAACTTCTAAAAAAATTACCAAATCATTCACATGAAGTAGATTTGTTATTCATTATCTGAAAGTATCCGATTAGTTTAAAAAACTAAATATGTTTTGTTTAATTTGGTTTTCAGAATGTCACTAGTTTACTTATACTTTTAATATATACTGATGTACTGAAATACAGAGAAATCAACTTGTGAGTACAATGCATGTTAATATAGTAAGTATAGCATGTTTAACATAAGCACATTCACACATGGAAAGTATCAATGTAAATAAATCATATGGCAGTAACTCTGCTGTACTTCATTGTGTAAAAGTAGCCCACGGGCCAAAAAAGGTTGGAGACCCCTGCAATAGATCGTTCAGCCCTAGTGGATGCTTAGATGATTGTTTAAAGTTTTCTTTCAGCTAAACCTTCGTCCACAGAGCTCACAAGCAAAAGGCTTCTGTCCTTTATGGACTCTTTTGTGACCGTTTAAACTGATCTTTTGGGTAAATCTTTTCCACCGAACTCACAGGCGAAAAGCCAGTGTGGACTCTCATGTGACTGTTTAAAGCTGACTTTTTGCTAAATCTTTTTACACAGAGCTCACAAGGAAAGGGCTTAACTCCTGTGTGGACTCTCATGTGTGTGATTAAGTTTGTCTTTTGGCTAAATCTCCTTCCACAGAGCTCACAAGGAAAGGGCTTATCTCCTGTGTGGACTCTCATGTGACTGTTTAAATGTGTCTTTTCACTAAATCTATTGCCACAGAGCTCACAGGCGAAAGGCTTCTCTCCAGTGTGGACTCTCATGTGACGGTTTAAAGTTGACTTTCGGCTAAATCTTTGTCCACAGAGCTCACAAGCAAAAGGCATCTGTCCTGTGTGGACTCTCATGTGTGTGTTTAAAGTTGACTTTAAGCTAAATTTCTTTCCACAGAGCTCACAAGGAAAGGGCTTATCTCCTGTGTGGACTTTCATGTGTGTGGTTAAGTTTGACTTTCGGCTAAATCTTGTTCCACAGAGCTCACAGACAAAAGATTTCTCTCCTGTGTGGACTCTCATGTGACTGTTTAAATGTGTCTTTTGGCTAAATCTCGTTCCACAGAGCTCACAAGCAAAAGGCTTCTCTCCTGTGTGGACGCTCATGTGTGTGGTTAAATCAGTCTTTTGGTGAAACCTTTGTCCACAGAGCTCACAGGCAAAATGTTTCTGATTTGTCTGGACTCTCGTGTGTTTGTTTAAATGTGTTTTTTGGCTAAAGGATTGAAGCCTGGCAGCATCAGTCTCCTTATTCAAATGGAGATGTTCTCCCTCCATACTAGACCAGAGTTTCTCCTGTTCCTCCTTTTTGTGGAGAAAATCTAGGTGCTGGTGGTTGACACGAGCACTCTGTTCTTCTGAAGCTTCTTCTTTAACCAGAACCACCTGTTGAAAATCTGTAGGAAACACAGAAACATATTATGTGAATTACAGACAGCTGTAACTGTGTTTTCACACATATAACAGTTGTATTATTTCTTTAAACTGACAGTAGAATGAAATGTATTTACAACTGGAAACTGAACTTTGAGCCTCTATAAATCATATGAGCCTTAACCCTCAGGCTTCACTTTAATTTTCATACAAGAGTCATTAGAGGACAGAAACGTCCGCTTGTAAAAGTGGCTATAAAAAATGTATACATTAATGTTTTTTTTTAACTTTTTTTTCATAGATCTGTTGAACAACTTCAGCCCTGCTCAAACGTAAAAAAAAATTCAATCATTTTGAAGATTTTAACCCCTGAAATTACAGTTTTAATACTCAAAAGTCATTGATGTAATTTATGAAGAAAAAAAAAAACAGCACCGAGTTATTTTCTAAATAAAACAGGTAACGAAACAGTTTCTGTGTTTTAAAAAGAACGACAGCATGGAATTAGCCTTGGATATGTCAAGAGTCTAGCAAAATATAACATTTTATGCTTTTTTAGTTTTTGTGTAGCAGCAGATTTAAAATTTACCACCCTCTTGAGCCTGTTATGGACAACAACGTCCCATTGACGTCAATAACATCACAGAAAGCATGATTATTTGTTGCAGATGATACAGGATCAAAAACTGTGGTTTGCATTAAAGTCAATGGGACTTTTTTGTCCTCTAATGACTCGAGTGTATAGTAAATTTTAAATGTGTTGCTATGTAAAAACTATAAATGCAAAAAATTCTAAAGTTTAGATATTTCATAACGTAATCAAGACTGATTTGTACTAAACACCCCAGGCAAAAAAAAAAAAGTCTTTTCTAGAAAATAACTCAGTTTTAGTGTTTTTTTCATGAATCGGGGTGATGTGGGCGTGTTTGGAGGACTTGGTCAGAAGCCGAGCACAGGCGTTCTGAACCACCTGTAGACGGTTCAGGGAGGTTCTGCTCAGACACGTGAAAAGAGAGTTACAGTAGTCTAAGCGTGAGGAGATGAAGGTGTGGAGAACTGTCTCAAGTTCAGAGCAGGACAGAATGGGACTCAGCTGTAAGGGAAAAATGAGGTTCTTACATTTTAATTAATGAGCCGTAAGGCGTGGGATTCCATAGGAAATATGAAATCCGCCTCATGGATCGGGGTTGGTTAAACCAGAAGATCGGGTCTATTTAATGCAGAGATCATGTAACCGTTATGTATTCACTCAGAGACAACAGAATAGAACGAGTCAAGTTTAAAAGTTAAGAAATTTTATTACTAACAATTAAAGGAGCATGGGGCAGGATGAAGAAACGAAACTCATTAGCGACGGACTCGGCGCTGTGAGTAACTGCAGCCCGGCACGAGAGCGCGCACAAACTCTTCACTAGAAAAAAAAAAGTTACAGTGATGTACGGCCAGAGCGCGGCTCGAACAAGGCACCGTGTCGAGCGATGAAGTAAGTAACATTGTTACTTTAGTCTATTATTTGTAAAATCCCATGACAACATTAGCATTTTAATTTAGCCATGACACTCGTGATGTAAAGCAAGTGCTCCTTCCTATGAAATATTCATAAGCCAGTTTTGTGACTGGCAAGCAAGACAGTAACATGATGCTACTTTATCAGCATAAGGCTTTGTGGCTGCAGGTGATTTCTGGTGTTTTTAGACAAATTACAGTTATTATTTTGCACTAAGCTTACTAACAAGCTAATGTTATTGTTTATACATCATGTATGAACATCCAATTTCAAGTCACTGACATCATTTGTGAAACCAATTTCATTACAGGACAGGCATCACAACAATGTAAATAAGAACATAAATATCAATGTTTAGTTCAAAAATGCATAAAAATAAAATCATAATATCAACAAGACCTACAGGGTAATACAGTCATTTTTATCATTACTGTCATTGATTTTCAGGAATTCACATTGGAAGGAGTGATGGAAGACAGTTCAGATGGAGTGTGCCCGAGCCTGCCACAGACTTTGAAGTGTCGTGGGAAAGTCTGAGACCAGGGGCTAAAGGAAAGGGGAGAGGAAAAGGTCGCTCCGAGGGTCGGGGAAGGACACGCTCAAGGGGTGAGGGCAGCAGGTTGAGGTCCAGAGCTCCTTCAAGAGGACCAGGGCGCCGGGGTAGGCAGCGAACAGCTTTCAGAGAAGAGGACAGAGACCGGCTTGCACAGCTGAGAGCTGCCAATATCGCTGAAATGCTGGTTGGTTGTAGCCATTTGTGTAAAAAAATAAAATAATAGAGAGATGCCAAAAACGAAAACATCACTCACTGGAGATATGAATCTAGTCATGTAAACATATGTTCTTTAATTTCTAGACAGCTTTACAACACTTGAGCCAGGAGGAGAGAGATTATATTCTCGAGAGAGTGGTGACCCGTCTTCCAGGGGTGATGCTGGATATCCTGGAGTTTCGGCAAGAGACGCCAGGACACCATCTTCCTGACTGAGGGCAGCCTAACCCAAAAATCCAAACCGTTTATCTACAACTACAGTAGTTCCAAAACAGCACAATACCTCAAAATAACTTTAGCTGAAGACAGCATTTTCACCCAAAAATAAACAAACAGTTTGTGCAATATATTTATTTTTATTTATGTACAAAAAAGTTCTGTTATTTGCATTTGTACATAGTATTTTTTCTTAATTTCTAATAAATCTGTGTGCAAGAAAGAAGTCATTCCTGTCTTTTGATGCTTCACGTAGCTGGGGCCTTTATGGAGAGAGGAGAACAGCAGCATTAGATCATACATAGATTACATGAGAATGCAGTTCTGGAAACTCTCCAGTTCTGAAGTTGACCTGTAAAAAAAACAAAAGCTACAACTTTATAGATGATTAGGAATCACACTTTTGATTGCCTTTTCACCCACAATTGTCATTTCTATATGTAAAATTTCAGCTTTGATATTGACACTTTAGCTTTTTTGCTTATGAAAATGTTATTAATATACCTAAAGGTCAGATTGGTGACATCCTTCAACCAGCGTCTGTTGAACATGATTCGTTGAAGAGCCTCGTGTGGTGGAGATCCTGGCACCATGAGCTCTTTATCACTGGTTGTTGCATCAAGTGGTCCATGGTCACATTTGCCACGGGTCCATTCATGCTTCCCTGTGACATGGTGAAGCACACCCACCCACATGTCCTAACAGAAAAAATAAGTTTTATTTGAAAACTTTACATGTGACAGAAGCGCTCACAAACAGAAACACGAGAGCTGGCACTATTATGAAAAGAAAGGTAATTATGTCAATGTGCATTGTTGTCTTGTTTTCCAAAAGATGTCACAATACTTACATTAAACATATCACAATGTTGTGCTTTCTGGCAAATGTACCAAAATTGGTTGAAGATGTCCTTCAGCCACACAAGTAGGATGGCATTTCCCTTTAGGATCCCAGCCTGTGAACAAGGATAAAACAACAATTCCATCTTTTAGTTCTTTTTAAAACATAGAAGGGTTTTATTTACCTGCAACGTTTTGTTTGCGGCTGCAAACTTCGTCAGCCTGACAAAGTTTTCATAACAGTTTTATTCTGTTATGAAAACAATAAATAAAAGTAGAATTAATATATTGTTTTAAGACTTTGGAGTTTGAAAAAATAGTATAGATAAGAATAGGGCTGGGCAATATGGCCTCAAATCTATATTGCGATATAATCTGAAGCATGTGCAATAACGATATATATTGCGATATATTTTTTCATCTGTTTATAGATGTCAAATTGACATGCTTTTAGATATCCTCAAGTGGCAAATATATGCCACTTGAGGCATATAGGCCTCCTCCTCCGCCCACTCCATGCTTGCAGTCACCGCCATTCTGTTGTCCCATTGTCAGCAGGGTGCGCATCTTAGTGACGTCATGTGTTATCACAATATCGCCGTATTGCGATATAGCCAAAAACTATCATTACCCAATTTTATATCATTTCTACCTTATATCGTTTATATTGCCCACCCCTAGATAAGAAGACATTGCCACTCACACACTGTTGAGTACGTTGTTTGCTTGGTCCTCATCAATTTGGACTGCATCTGTAGCTAGATCCATGGATTTGAAACTACAGACAACACAATAATATTTGTTGTACGTAAAGATAAATACTGGACCTTACCTGAAATGGTACTGATTCTAAAGAGATAAATGTGGAGCCTAATACATCTGTCATTAATTATTTCTGCAAATAACAACAATCTGCTGTGAATTGACACTTCACAACATGAATAAATATATATAATGACCTATATTTGCTTATTTATTGTGTTTTTATCTTTTTTGCACATAGTACAGCAGTAATTTCCTGCGTATATGGCAAGACTTCTCATGAACAAATTTACCTTTCTTCAAAAGGATCCAAATCTAGGTAATCAGCTAAGGCCTCAACATCAGCCATTAGAAAATCTTCCCTGTAAAGACAATGTCAGAAGTGTTTGGTGGTGTGATGTTAGTTCTGAACCAAGTGTGGATATGCAAGGTGTAATTTAATGTATGAAATATCATAGCACAAAAACGTGAATATTTGTTTTACAGAAAAGATACTAACCCCTCAGACACAGGTTCAATTGGAGATAATCGATGCGACTTTTTTTTTTTTTTTTTTTTTTTTTTTTTTTAACGTGTCCTGTCTGGCTGTGAAGCAAGCAGAATTGATGTCTGAATGCTGGTAACAAGCCTTACAGTTTTACTCTCAGGTGGAGCATCAGAGCATCTGCTTTTAATGTCTCAGGTGGACCATCAAAGAGTCTGCTTTTAATGTCGCACCTGATATTTAAAACTTTATTGTTATTGTTTTTGAATGCTTTGTAATTTCGACCAGACACGGAGACAGAGGTGAAAGAGAAAGGAAAAGAGAAAAGGTGGGGAGATAGGGGGTTAGGTGGGGGGGGGATTCAACAAAAATAAACAATAATGAACAAGAGTCTGCTTCTAGACCTGCAAAATGAGACGAGAAAAAAGCAAAACATAACAAAAAAATGGGACACAACACCAATATAACAAAATCAAGCTATCACTGCGTCAACTTGATGAAGAAATATATAATCAATCATTGTTTAACTAAACAGTCACACGATAATATACCACAGTGCATTGAGTGCCCACCATAGTCTTAAGACATGTGTTGAACGTGCCCAAGCCCATACTTATGAGAGCACCATGTGAGCACCTGTGTGTGTACACGCGCTTGTTTATGTAAGGTTTATCTATAGGAGCGTCCAATAGAGAGTGTGAGGGACCACAGATCTGCCCCCCAAAGACGCGTAGGAGACGGGGGGGAGCTCCAAGTCCCAGAGATCCAGGCGCTGCCCCAGAACACAGGAACCCCAAGGAGCCCGCAACCAGAAAGGCCCCCGCCCCCCTCGAGAGGCACAGAGGATCGCCCCGGGGGGCCACAACCAGCAGCCGGCAGAGCCCCGGGAGATATCAGCGGCAAGTCCTCAGGCCTGCCCGCAGCCTCCCACCCCCTAGCCGGCCGAGTCCGGGACCCAGCGGCCCGGGACCCAGGGGCGACCACCCCCGCCGGGGACCCAGCAGAGCCCAGGGACCCAGACCCCCCCAGGCCGCCACCGGGATTGATCAGGCAGATGCCAAAAATCTTAAACTCCCTGACCCGGGAGCCACGAACACTCAGGCAGACCAAGGCATCACACCCACACCAGGTGTGACAGGGGGGAGGGGAGACGAAGATCTATATCATCAAAGGAGGTCCCAGGAGAAGGGAGGAGTCAAAGGCCCCACCTGACATATACAGTCATACACAAACACAGTCACACACTCCCTCCCTCATGCTCACACATGCACATACAACCAAAGACTTACAAAAATACACGCCGGACACCCATTCATGCTCCCCATACACACCCTATTCACTCTGGTCCCGGTAATGCTGCACATGGGGTACAACCACCACCGGTTACCAGAGTTTGACCCTTTCTGCTGGGGTGCTGATGAGCAGGCTCCCCCGCCCACCGCCGAGCACAGCAACCCACCACCCCAGACCCCAACCAGACGGCCAGATCTCCCTCCTAGTCTCCAGCCCCAGGCAGCCAAGCAACAACAGAGGTGTGCTAAGACCCCCTGGTCTCCCTCCACCTGCTCCAACATAGTGTTGTGTGTTAATGAGGTGTATTCTATTGCTGTGGTGAGCGGGCAGTGCGGGCATTTTCTGGCCTATGCCAGCTGATGCCACTGCACCACCCTACTTGCACCCACAGCCCTTGGTGTCTAAATGCAGTTTAAAATTCGAAGTGGGCACCGGCACTCGGGAGGAGGCTGAGAACTCCCCCTGCCAAGTGCCGTTGAATGTGCTCACTCCCAAGGCCCTAAGTGTATGTTTGCGTGGAATGTCGTCGGTGGAAGTGCATAAGGTGCAAATAAAATTGGGGGGCAGGAAGCCACAGGAATGCGGAAATGGGGTCCATACCCGCACTCCTCGACTTGTCCACCCCCCAAGGTCCTATGTGCATGTTTGTGTGATGATGTGAGGGAGCAGGAGGAGAGAAATAAACGGGGATGAGGAGGAATGGCTGGTAGGGCTTAGCCCTCCAGGGAGCCAGCTCCCCCACTGACCCCAATAGGCACCTCCGTTGTCATACCGCCGCCCAGGGCATGGAGACCCCAGCCCATCCTGCCAGGGCCCAAAGCAGCAGCATCACAGAGCCCCACAGAGCCCGAGGGAGCCGACCCAGCCCCACCCCAGCAGAATATCTATGCCCATCCCTGCATTTGCACAACTTCCAGAATATATAAGACATAAGACATCCAGGTAAGGTTGGGTCCTCCCCCTCCTGGACCTCCCCCTCCCCTGTGATGGGACAACAGAGGAGCCAGGGCCTGCCCTACGCCCCCGAACCCGGGCCAGGTACTTCTGCGTATTCCTGCCTTCTTCCCGGCAGCGTACATGTAGGGACCCGACCCCCATCGATGCGACATTTTAGCTGCTGTTCTCTTACTGGGTGTCGAGGTTGCCTTCACATTACCTCCCTGAATTGCAGTTTCAGGAGCCTGCTTCTTCCGGTAGCTGGAAAACACATTTTTAAACAAAAATGTCAACAAGTTGGTTGAGACTCTACACCTTCTGTTTACATAGATCAATAATGGCTAAGCTTCTTTACCTGTGGCACAACTAGTAATATGAAAATGCATGTCAGTTATAAAAAATTTATTTATCATTTTCACAAACATATTTTATTCTGACCTACATTCAACTGGACAAATTTAGAAAAATAAACACAAACTTCTGCACAACTTTACTTTTAGTCAAACGTGTTGTTATGGCTGACTTATTATTTATTCTTATGTAGCACAGCAATAGCGCTAGGGAAATATATTCCGATGGGGTTCTGTTACACAAACCCCACGAATAACATTATCTACTGAAGTAACAGTCCTGCTTAGAGGTTGGACTGTAGATCAAATATGACATAATTCTAAAGACTCATCTTTGGTTTGGAAAATGTCCGTTCTCTTCTACAAACTGAAGCGTGATCGCAGCTAACATGCTAACGCACGCTAGCTCTCTCCGGCTGAGCGGTGACGTCATATAATCAAATCAAGCTCTGTTTACTTTTCTCGTCAGAATAAACGGAGCATCCATTTATCTCCAAACACATGCGGCGTGTCGTCCACAAAACGTAGAAGTGATCCGGTTACTCCTTAGTTGCTTTTAGCTTTTTCAAACTGATCAGGAAGCCATAAACACCGTTAGCTTAGATAAGTTTCTTGTTCATCTGCACAAAGATTTGTTAGATTACCTAAATCAGCATGATCTAAATCCATAAGTTTTATTTTATTTTCTCAAATTGTGCAGATACAGCTCTGATATGTTTACCTACTCGTTACTGAAACCTACAGCAGAAATAAGGAGACCAACACTTACCTGGTCACTAGAAAATGAGCCATGTCCGCATCCTTTTTCAGGCCCAAATCCAGTTGAAGCAGCCTCCATTCTTCCAGAGCGTAACCAATAGATATTCGGGTCCCTGACCGACTTTTATCATATTTTCTTTTTGACTCTCGAGATGCTGCTGATAAAACCTTCTTCTTTGTGCCACTCTTTAGTGGGCTTTGAGTTGCGCTTGGTCTTTTGCCAGTTGTAGAATCCATTTCCAGGGTTCTTCCTCTTCTGTTTGGGGTTTTAACGTGGCTAGTAGTGAAAGACGCGTTACCGCCACCTAGCAAGCTTCCAAATGTTTTTCCAGGTTTGAACCTTGTCGAGAACGCGCTTGAAGCGTCAATTAACGTCATATCCGTAAAACAGCGCGGGAAATTCGGATCAGGAATGTTTTGCATTTTGCAGCACAAAGCCTGATTAACAAAATGGAATTATAAACTGGTTTCATCATTCTTTTTAGTTTAAAATGCTTCATCACCCATAAGCTTCTCAAGAATGAACATGTACGTTTTGTTTTTGGACAATTCCTGCCCCATGCTCCTTTAAACTCGGCTTATTTAAGAACTAAGTGTATAGTGCGACTAAAAATGGATGAGGCGGTGAATGGATGACGTGTCATGTAAATCAGAACCCGCAAATCCGAAGGAGCGATTAGTTCTGACGGGAACTGAAGATGTTGGTTTGGAATAAGCTGGGGTTCGTTTCAGAACTGCATGAGACACCATTAAGCCACGCCTACCTGCCTGGTGGAAGTCCTCTGTGAGATCAGGAATGCCGAGGTCCACCCGGACCCTCTCTGGACACCGAGCTGGTAGCAGAGCTGCGGTTCCGACCAGACCCGTCTCGAGATACTGCCGGCACACGACTCTTGTCTTGGCGTCTGTTCAGACCCAGCCTGGGTCAGTGGAGCTCTTATTCTGAAAGGAGCTGTTGTCGTTGCTTGTTGTTATAGCGACTGGATTTTCTCAGCTTGTCGTGGTTCTTTCGGTTGAAGAGTTAAAGTTCAGGATTGGCCACTCCGTCACTTTGCTCTGGAACGCTTTGAACTGCATTAGAGCTGACGTGGCATCTGTTTTATACCTCGGATGTTATGGTTTATTGTTGAATGAAAATTACCAAACACCGTCAGAAGCACGCCTCCGTCAGATCTGTAAGATTCTGATTGGATCAGTGAAAAAATGTGTCAAGTCCTTTTAACACTACGTGAAATGAGTCCTGTTGAACCATTTAAAGTTACATTACTTCATTTCTAAGATCATAATAAAATAATTAATATTTTAATTTCACAGGTCGGTCACATCTTGTTATATCGACTAACACTTTGATGGATTAGCTTTATTAAAATAGAGTTCTTTGATTAATCAAAAGGAAAGAATTCATTCTTCTTTCTTCTGTCTTCATGCTGGAATGTAAACAGTTTAGAAACGACTGTATGACCTTCAGGCTGTTTCAGACACACTGACACTGTGTCAAAAGGAAACAGCTGTTAGGGTAGAAATGGCTCCTTCATCACGTTACACAGCTTAGCAACGTTCCTGAGATTGAAGAAGGAAGAGCCAACAAGAGAACTGGCATGAGAATCCAGGGTGACAGCTTGGTCAAAGGTCACACCAAGATTCCTGACAGAGGGTTTGGTGTGAGAAGCAAGCTGACCAAGAGAGTCTCTGACTTTGGGAACCAGCTTCTCTGGGGCACAGATGAAGATCTCAGTCTTATCTTCATTCAGCTGTAGAAAGCTCCCACCATCCAGGTTTTAATGGAGTCTAAGCAGGAGAGCAACAGCTGCAGCGTAGACATCTCATGGGGCTTAAAGGAGATGTACAGTTGGATGTCATCCGTGTGAAGACGCTAGGAGACTCCTTTAAATTAGCTCAGCAGGTGCTGTAAAGGAAGCAGATAGAGCAGGGCCGTGCAGAGACCTTTGAAGGGGCGGGTGCTCAAAGTTAAAAAAGGGGCACATATACAGGGTTTTCCTGTATTCAAATTTGCGTGGCGGCCGCCTCCAGCTATTTTTGTGCCGCCCCAGCCTGATTTCACTCTGCCCCCAGCTATATGGATGTTACTGTAACTGCAGTTGCAGCGTTGCGCCACTACAGGGCGCTGTACCAGCAGCGGTGCACCGAAAAGCGCTAAAACCGCTGCAGAAAAAGATCAAAATTTGCTTTTCTCGCTAGTTGGTACATACCTATGGTTGGTGCTATTAACGTCCTGATTTTCCCCCAGCTCTTCCATATCGGAGCAGGGCTGTAACTGTCTGTGCGTGTCTGTCTATTTTTTAAACGTAGCATGGGTGCAACATCTTTGAATTACTATTTTCCCCAGAACTTTATTGAACAAAAGTAAGTAACGTGTAAGAAAATGCTTTTTACTGGCGCACAGTGTGGTCATCTGGATGCAGTGGAGAAAAATAAAGGAACCAACAAAGGCACAAAGGCAGAACCGGTCCAAACTTTGGGATCAAAAGTGCAGCTACACGCAGATTAGCTAATGCTAAAGCTAACAGGTAGCAGTCTCGCGATCAAGTGGCGCACAGAAAAATATATGATGATGATGATGATCGTAAAACGATGAAAGACTAAACTCTACAAGCGGATGAAAAGTCCCCACCATCCTGTTTATTCTGCATCCTGCAGCACTACGGATCAGAACCGCTGCAGATACGGGTCACATTACAGCTACAAGTCTACGGCAAGCCATTGTTGTATATAATCCACAAACGCTTCTATGTTTGAACATAATTTGAACTGGATTATTGCTAACCCGTACATAATAGACATGCCACCATTACATTGTTAGCTGCAGAAATTAAATGTTATTACCATTTCCAACACAAGTGCATGTTAATGAAATGCATTATATTTTACCGCATATATTTATGTGTTATTATGACTAAGATGAGTGTTATTAACACAAAACTAAAATGTTACTGAAATGTAGGTCAAATATATAAAAATATTTTAACTATAAATATCAGATGGGAAAAAGGAACTAAACACCAATCTGATGCATATTATTGAGCCTTTCATAATGAGTCTGTTATTTCAGCCTGATAATTTTGTTGTTTTATTTCATATTTTTTAGCAGCAAACCAGTTTTGATTCACTTGAAACGTAGTCAAATGGAATTAGGGCTGCAACTAACGATTATTTTCATAATCGATTAATCTGTCGATTATTTTTTCGATTAATCGGTTTGTTATTGTTTAGCTGTGTAGCGTTAGGAAGTATAATGGTCTGCGCTTAACAGCTGCCCCTTCACACAGTACCATCACCAAGGTCGGACGCTTGGTTCAGTATGTGTACATTCCAGGAGAAGAGACAGAAGAACAGAAGAACGTTTTTCATTGAGTACTCAAAGTACTTTATTTGTGATAAGCTAATCAAAGCATTTGTTGAACATTAATAATCAAGTGAATGATCTGTGAAATAAAGATGTCATGAGTTATGTGTTTAAATGAATAAACAGGGCTGCCCCAGACACACTGATATGCATTACCATGGAAACGCATGACACATTGTTTTCAACCAATCAGAACTTTCGTCTGTGGTAGGGCAGAATCTGGTTTGTTTATGAAAGTAGTCCAATCCGGTTTACTAAGATTCTTAAACAAATGGGAGATATAAAAAGAAGGCAACGCCATTTTAAGTCAGTTCCACATAGGGTTGTCACGGTAACCGGTATAGCGGTAAACCCCGGTAAAAAAGTTGACAATAAAAACAACCGTCCAGTTTTAAAAAAAAACTAAATTATCTCGGTGGGTTTACCGTGGCCGCGGTTTCAGCGCGGTGACCCTTACCAGCCACCGTCGCTTCAGCTGAAGTTCCCGCGGCGCGCACACGCACTTTTTAGTTTGCAATGGCACTAAAACTTTGAAGCTGAAATAATGGCCGAAGGAGGAGACGGCAGCGCCCAGGACATCATCAGCCCTCAAAGAAGACTAACTCGGAAGTATGGGCATATTTGGGATTTCTGAAAAACGCTGAGGGACAGTTAATAGAAGACTGCTATCCCGTTTGCAGAACGTGCAGGAAACAAGTGTCTGCAAAAGGCAGCAACACTTCGAATCTAATGGCACATCTGCGTGACCATCACCCACGTCTCTACAGCCAGTGCAAGGTAGGTTAACATTAGCATTTTAGCTTAAATGCATGACGTGAGGACTTTTGGTTGACGGAGAATGCAACGAGTCACTATATACTGCAGCCGCAGCGTCCTCTGCCAGCATTTAAACCGTGTCACGGACACCCTGTTGCTGGATGAAGCATCTTATTTGTTGATGATGAAGAGAAATATACAATTAGTTCCTTGTCATTGATTTGTTTACTTATTCAATGCCATTTATACTTGAACATTTGGATTTGATTACATAGTGTAGTCGTTATTTTAGTCATTTGTTTAAAGTGGCTATTTTATTATATATACATATTTTTTAAGGTTGACTTGTACAGTGCTCAAGGCAAGTGTGGACTGGAGTTTTAGATTTTCATTTTGATAATGAAGAAAACAAGTATATGAGAAAACAAGTGGTGTTTCTTTGATTTGTTTACATATTGTTTATGTTTTGAATGTTTGGATTTGTATAATTTAAACCTGCACTGACTACTGTAACATGTTCCAGAAAAAGAAGCTATTTGTTCCTTTACTTGTGAAAAGTTGAACTTTTGCTAAGGCTTTGTGTTATTTTAGGTTTAATAAACACTGTTAAACCTTTTCAAAACTATTTCAGTTTGTGTAGAACAGGACTATCAATGCTTTCTGAACATATGCAACACCGTTTAAAAAATACCGCGATAATACCGAAAACCGTGATAATTTTGGTCACAATAACCGTGAGGTTAAATTTTCATACCGTGACAACCCTAGTTCCACGTTACGTTCACTTTCAGCAGTTACATGTTGAACTCAGCTCCAGGACATCCGAGTTCCTAAGGATTTCCATCGTCATCATTTGGAAGTGCAGACTGGCCAGATGTACTTCCTACTTTGAGCTGAAATCTGTCAAGCTGGAGATTTTCCGTCGTTTTTACCAACGAGACAACGTTCTTTCAAAATAAGAGTGAACTTGTTGACGCCTGCCGATGCTACCTGAGTCGACCCTTCAGACGGGCATTGTGTGCTGTGACCGCTGTTTCAACCAGCTCCAGTATCACTGCAGGTCCGAGACCTGGCAATTCCTGATCTAACATGGGAGGCTCTTCCTGGGTACGTAAATACGGCAAATGGTGGCTCATGTCATCAGCTTCTGAAGCCTCGTGGTAGCCTAGTCAAAACAACCAGATTCGCTACTCAGCCTAGAGATTCTGAACAAAACACACACACACACGAAACATCTACATCCATATGCATTCATCATTGATAGTCCTGGTAGATTGTAAGAATTTGTAATTATAGAAATTAAAGATTCTTAAACGATCCCAACTCTCTCTCTTTCTTGTCTCCCAGTCAATACAAAGTGTTTAAGTAAACTCCCTGATGATATAAACAACCTCTTCTGATTGATTACTTAGATTGCATAAATATACAAAATCAGGTAATTAAATTATCTAATTACAGTATATAAATATAAAAACTTCTAATCACAACAGCTATTTAACCTATACAAGTGACGAATACATTTCAGTTAAGAAATAGAAAAACATAAGAGAATTGTGCAGTTGACTGCAATCTATTTTATTGCACATGAACACAGTCAGCGGTGTAAAATAAGCTAAACAGTGCAAAATATCAGTCCAGAATAATTTTTTGGCATCAAAATATAAGAGGTAAATTCCTTAAAAAATAATGTAGAATCTAGAATAGAGTTTGTAAGTGGTATGCATTGCTGGGGGGTGAGTGTCTTGTTCCCCATGTAGTTGTCCATCGTTGCTTGTCTTTTTCTGCATAAGAAACACAAATAGACTGAAATAAGTACACATATAAAATAAAGCAGCACACACACTACAACACTAGGCATTTTACAGCGTTAGACAGTAAAACAGCCTTTTAATAGTAAAAAAAGGACTTTCTGAATTTCTCCTGTATTTAAAAATTGAAAGCGTACAACTATGCCGCGTTATATTCACCTGGACACAGCTCATCTGTATATTTTTCTCCGCGGAGTTGTCCTTTTTTGAATGAGGAACATAGTTATGGGTTTGTGCAGTTTTTCTCTTAACGAGAACATTCTTATAAACAGACGTGCTAAATTTGGCAAGTGCCTGATACACAACACGGAGGAGATTCACGATTGCATCTAGTCAATCAGAAGTAGAACACCGTAGACTGAAGCGGCAAAAAAAAACATGTTTAACATCCACTATAACGAACTCAGCTCCCAAATTTGATCTGCGTTAGCTTGTTTATTTTCTGTTACTTACCGAATTCACCGGACTTTCCTCTGCTGCATCACCCCCCACGTTTTCGTCTCAAATGTTCACTTAGGGACGTCGTGCTTCCTGAAAATATATGTATCTATCTTATACGCTCTTTTATATATTGTTCTATGCTATTTTTATATCATCATATGCTATGGAAGAATCCTGTTCTGATATTAAGTGCCTCTCAGTGTTTTTCTGCACAAGATGAACAGCTGCATATTCTCTCCTGCACAAAAAGGAGTGAAACATCCCAGCTCCTCTCGTACCAGCGTGTGTCTTTATTATCAAGGATGTTCCTGCTTATCTCAAGGATACGTGTTCTTGTGATGTATTAGTTCTTCACTAACAAGGCAATTAGTTTTTACCTGTCATGACCAATGACGTGTGCAAATGGCAAACTGAGTGTGTTACATTCCATTATTCCTTAATAAAAACAGCTGTATGAGCAGAGAGCTTCAGAAACACTTGATGCAGCGAGAGAAGAGTTGGGCGCGGGTCCAGCTGAGGCTGTGTGTTTCTCCCTCTGCAGTGGCGAACAAAGATTGATTCTTCTGATTATTTGTCTTCACTCTCTACCAACGAAAGGTTTTTTTTTTCTCTCCATTTACTCCGTACCTGTGATGGTCTCACAGAAGGAAAGACCAACAAATTTTGGCGTCACGAACAGGATTTCTTCCTTTTAAAGAAGAAGGAGTTTTTGGAGGCCAATCTGACCAACCGACCCAGTGAATGGATCCAGGCACAAAAACACCGCGGTGAAAATAAGGTAAGCAGAACCTATTCTAAAAATCTGCTCATTGGATATATCCAAAGCCTTTGTGTCTTGAATCTTAGTAACTGTGGTCCTAAAAATAATCATTGGAGAAGAAAGTGAAGACAAATGCAGAAATAATGAGAGGTTTTTACAATGTTTTAATAAGATAAGGATTTTTACAATGGTGTAAAGGTAAAAAAATAAGAGACAAGTTATATTAAAAAGGGGGTTAGAGGCCCTAGGAGCAGAGAACTCCTAAAATTCTACAGGTCAGGGACCTGTTCAAGGGAAATAGAAAAGAAAGCTTCCAGGTCGTGGCGGACCACACTATTTACTGACGAGTGAATAGAAATATAACGAGGTTATATTAAGGCCAGGTTAGAGTCCTTAGGATGTGGGAACCCTAAAATTCTACAGGTCAGGGACCAGTTCACGGTTATATTTAGGGGTTAAAGGCCCTAGGAGACAAGAGAACTCCTAAAATTCTACAGGTCTGGGACCTTCTTATGAACCAAGAAAAATGTTTTTGATACAAAACACATGCCATAGTTAGAAAACACGCTGTATGAATGTCAAGTCTCAATCAGCTTTGTCGGTAAAACAGGGGAGGCTGACTGATTAACTTGAATTACACAATAAAAGAGACAAAATAAACTCCACATGAGAGTAATAAGTCTCTTTAGGCTGAGCAACCATATTATCTGCACTTACGAAAAGTGCAGAGAGTAAGGATAAGTGTAAAAACACATAGAATTTTTATATCATAACAAATAGGGAAATAGTTGAATAAGCGGTAAACACCACCCTACCGCAGATAAGAAGGGTAATGAATGAATGAACTGTACTAACAATTGTATGTGTAAGTGAGAGAAATACAGCACCCCCTTGTGGATGCAGAGGTAAGAACTTTCCACCTGAAAAGGTAGAAGCGAAAGTTACCACAACGGGTCATTAGCGCTGTCTCACTTTTTAACACCGGTGATTAGAGCTCCTTATGAGCTAAGACCTCACCGGTCCAAATTATCACCAAAAACCAGCAGCATACTAACAGAATGATGGATAAAGAATTTGATCGTGAAACGGAGGATGATGGATGGGGGCCGAATGACATCCTGAGTACACTGGGAGAGCAATTAGCCTGCACAGAGACTGTAATAAATATGACAAGTGGTCCAATAGAAGCTACGAAAAACAAAATTTTATTGAGAAAAACAGCAGAAAAAGCGATGAAAGAAAAAGGAGCAGATGTGAACAGCAGAGGAAACTGGGGTAAAATATGGGAGCAGAAAGCAGCAGAAGCGAGAGAAAAGGAAGAAGAAGCTAAGAAAGCTTTAAGGGAAGCAGGAGTGCTAACAAGGAAGAAAATAAAAAGTGAGGTTGAAAAGCAGGCAGGGCGAGTGAGTAAGTACATGCAGTGGGTCATGTTATGGAATGCAGCCAGACCTAATATGAAGAAAGTGAAAAAAGAGACCAAATCACACACTCAACCACCCCCATACTCCTCCGCTATACAGCCTACACCTTCTACTGCTCCAGCAGCTGGACTGTATCCAGTAATAAAAGTCACGAGCGGCATACTAGACATCCAACCTGAAACCCCCGTGGATAATTTGAGTGAGTGGTCAGGTGTAACTATGGCATCAGGATCAGACACTAAAGTCAAACCCTCCACCTCAAAGACACATAATCCCTTCCTGCCAAGTAATGAAACACCAAACAGTAGCCCATCTGCAGACAACCTAGCTGCACCGTTCGAATTAAGGGCCAAACGACAGGACATAGATAACGCACAAAATCAATTTACCACTCACTATTTTAATCAGGGCCTGGTCACACCTGAATACGGTACAGGTACAAACCTCCATACACCGTCTCCAGCACATTGGCCAAACAGTCCACCTGTATGGCCTAAAACGCCAGACCTAAACAAGCCAATACCAATTTTTGCTACCTCCCAGTTGCAGGGAGAAGATCAGGAAGACCCAAACAAAAATATAGTGGTAAAAATGGTTCTGGTAGGGCAGGAATCATCTGATCCCCCTCCAGCAGCCAGTCAGAGCTATGAATCCCTCCTACAAGAGGAGTGGCAGAAGCAGCTCACGAGAGAAGAGTCTAGGGGAGAAAGGGACCTGCTTCAATTTTCCCGCTCTCCATCCCCATGCCCAGATAGAAGACACACAAGGTCCATGGGCCCCCCACCGACCTACCAACTACCCATGGTGCAGAATAAACCCAACGCCCAGAAAGTCTATCAGCCGTATTCCCTTGGGGACATCCAGGCTTTAATAGATAAATTACCAGATATCCAAGAGGGTGGAAACACTTGGCTCTCAGACTTCGACACCCTCACTGCTGGACAGGATCTTGCATTGGGAGATTTCCGAGCAGTAATCACTAGGTGCACGTCACGCTCGCAGGCGGAGGCCCTAGAGAAAGACGCTGGCACAACTCATGATTCTAATTCTGTACCTCTCGGTAGAGTGATAGCTCGATTAGGCCCGGCAGTCAGAAAGATGTTCCCGCTAAAAGATAGCAGCACAATGAGCAAAATCAAATGGGATACTAAACAAAATCCTTCTATTTACCTGAACCAAGTCATTGATAACTGGGTGGCCCAAACTGGGCAACACCCATCCAAACAGGGCACGAATAGTATGTGGTTCAAAAAGGCAGTCCTGAAGGGAGTCCCCAACTCAGTGACTTAGAAAATGGAAGACAACCCCGACCTACATGACTGTGACTTTAGTAAGTGGAAGAAACACCTTATTTTTAACCTCAACAAAGTACAGGTACAGGAAGAAAAAGACACTGATAACTTAGAGGACTTGCAAAAACAATTGCTCAGGGTCCAATTACAAGCCGCAAAAAAGACTTTGGGCGAAAAGGGGGACAAGGTTAAGAAACAAATGGTCGCGTCCATAGCCACACCCCCACCACTACCGTCACTTCCTGATCAGGCTTCGCCTATGGCTTGGCAGCCGCAGCCACCATACTCAGGGCAGCCGCAGACACCATACTCAGGGCCATATATGCCACCACAACAAAACACACCCCTCACATATGCTGCCCAGCGACCACCTTTTGCTGGTCGACCTAGAGGTGGTTTCAGGGGAAGGGGACAGTGGAGGCCAGTAGGCGGCAAAGGGGGACCACATGCTCAAGACATTTGCTACAATTGTGGTCAACCAGGACATTGGTCCAAGAACTGCCCCATGCCATACAGCCCACAAAGGGAAGGTCGAGGCAGAGGCACCTTCTCAGGACGAGGAGGGCCTACCGGACCCCACACTCAGATGCCAATGATGGGCTGGGACCAGTGGGAGGGTGGTCCAAGACAATAGGACACCCCACAGAGAAACTCCGACGGCCAGGGAGCCACGGCAGACCCCCTGCTGTCAATAACTGTAGATGGACAAGATCAACCATTTTTGGTTGACACTGGTGCCACTTGCTCCACCATACAAACTGTGCCGCCCTCTAAGACATCTACACGCACTATTTCAGTGATGGGCTTCTCTGGGGAACAACAAACTCTGCCTTTCTCCCTGCCACTTCCGACTACAGTGGGACACCAAACAGTACTGCACAGCTTCGTCTGTTCTCCGACAGTTCCAGTCAACTTACTGGGAAGAGATCTCCTCATCAAGTTAGGAGCCACCATTTTGTGTGGTCCTACGGGACTTACTGTCACTCTGCCTGAAGGGACTATTTTGCCCTGCACCGGAGAAGCCAGTGAAGGCATGTACTTGGCTCAAAAACTGCCTGACATATCAGACTGTGCTGAGATTTACTGGGCTCTGTTGGACACAGAAACCAAGGACACTCCTGGCTTAATGACTCTGTACCAGCAGTGGAAACCCTGGCTGACTCAGGCCCATCCTTATTTTCCCCCTCCTGACCCTCCTCACCTAACATTATTCTATGACAGACATGACTCAGTCTGGTACAAGGAAGCCTTCCAAAACCAACTAGAGAGACAGCAATGGTGTGTTCAAACAACAGATATTTATGCTGCACCAGAAGGTGTGGCCGCGGCAGTCAACCTAACCCAGGAACAATTGGCATGGTACATGATGGGAGACGAAGCGGTACCTCATGTCTCTCTCGCTTTACATCCGGCCCATCAGGCAAAAGAACTAGGGGGAATGGTTAAACGTCCCTAGCAACCACTGATTGGCGTTCGACTCCTCTTCCACAAGTGTCATACTCAGACTCAACTCAGACGTTTAAAATCGCTGCGGTTTGTACTAATATGACACATTTACAACAGGAAACTATTAGCAGATCCCATGGCCGTGAACGAACTGACCACCCTGATGCTCTG